TACATACATACATACATACATACATACATACATACATACATACATACATACATGCATACATACATACATACATACATACATACATACATACATACATACATTACTTACATACATACATACATACATGTGTGAATATTTATGTATCTAGATGTGTTTGCAACATACAACTCTGTGACTTGAGAGAACTTTGAAATTTTAAAAATGTGTAAACTTTTCAATTTGACGTTTGGCCCAAAACTTCGAGAATTCCATTACCAAGATGAACATTCCCACGCTCGCGGGATTGAAAACAACACGAATCTAGTAGCAAACTACCAGCCCAATTCACTAGATCATTCCCAAATGTATTCAAATTATAACTCTTAGTTCGTAATAATAATAACTATTCGTCTTTTCAAAACTAAAAATGATAGATATTCCTCCTCAAAAGCCGGGTTTTACTGATTTCTAATAAGAACTCTGCTCGCGGCAAATTAGATCCGCCACTCTATGCATGTTTGTTTGTTGACTTTCAACACAAATTTGGAAGTGTCAATAGAAAACATTACCAGTAGCACATCTGCTAAAAAAACCATACTAAAAAACAAAAAGTGAGGTAAGAAAGTGAGCGAGTGAGGGAATGAATGAGTGAGTGAGTAAGTGATTGAGAGTGAGTAAATGAGTGAGTGACCTTATGTATAAAAATGTAAGTAAGTAGTAGCAGCACCGGATAAGCGCTAGATAATGTAATTGTCTTCCGTAATGTGATGACGTCATTCACGCCACTGTCGCCTGCCTCGTGTCGTGTTTGTTTTTCTCATTGACTTCCGGTTTGGTTTTTTTTGTAATTTAATTTTTTTTTGTTTCTGTTTGTTGTTGTTGTGGTGGGAATTGTTGTTGTTGTTGTTGTTGTTGTTGTTGCAGTTGTTGTTGTTGTTGTTGTTGTTGTTGTTGTGAAGATTGTTGCGGTTGTTGTATTGTTGCGGTTGTTGTTGTTGTTGCAGTTGTTGTTGCAGTTGTTGTCTTCGGCAAAATACTTTGCAACCCTTTCATGTAAATATATAAGAATGTATTCAGGCACGTGTGTGTTTATATTCCAATCTATTTTATAACATACTAGCATACAGACCAAAATGTATCAAAAATCAAAACAATTTTCATCACTTTTTAAATTCTAATTCACAATTGAAGTCTTCTTTTCAAAGTGACAGACCAAAACAGCAGCTCAAAAACCAATTTCCTACATAAGGAAATTATCTATTAAATTTTGATAGAAAGATTTTTAATATTATTATTATAATTATTATTTTATTTATTATATTATGACGATATTATTATTATTATTAAAAATTTTCTTCCAAAGAATAGAACATGTTTCTAGATTGATGCGTTTAACATCGTAAATTCAGCTTTCTCCTATTAATAACGTGTGACCGAAAATATTGATGATGAATTTGGTGTGGTTGCTAGTGCTGCTACTACTGCTGCTGCTGCTGTTGCGGTTGCTACTACTGCTACTGCTGTTGCTGATGGGGTCGTTCTAGTTTTATTAGAATTTAATTTTCTTACCGTGTCAATGTGGCTTATGCCTTTAGTTTTTTTTTATATAAAAATTTTTTTTCAATCCATTTTATTCACAAAAACTCAAAAAAACTAGTTTGTTTTGGTTTTGTTTTCTGTTATTTCTTTGCTTTACTTCTGTCGGCCACTTTCATGTCTTTGGACTTTCGTGTCGCATTGTGGTGGAAACTTTTCGGAGGAGTTTCGCCTCGCTTAACATTTTGGAGGCATCTGCTAAGTAAGATCCATCGCGTTTTTGTGAAATTTGTTGCTGTTGATGATGATGGTGATGATAATGATGGTGAGAGAGAGAGAGAGAGAGAAAGTAGAAAAAAAAAAGTGAGTGCAAAAAAAGAAAAAAATTAAAAAAATTTTTGAAAAAGAGTGAGGGAGAGATCCAAAGATGAAGTTTTGTTGATTTTAACGTTGATGCTTTGACGACGTTGTTGTTGTTGTCATGAAGTTGATGATGTTATTGTTGTTAAGTTGGTAATGTAATGATGATGTTGTTGTTTTTATGGTTGTAGTGTTGTTGTTCTACAAGCAGTAGTTGTTGCCAGTGTTCTCCGGTTAGATTGATGCTTAATAATTAGCATCGTTTCGAGCAATTTGCACTCTTCAACTCGTGTGGCAAATTTTCGTGAGTTTTGTTTCATTTTATTTCAAGTTCTTGGTTTTAAGTATTCTCCGTTATTTATAGAAAACACACACGCACACATACACACACGCACACATACACATTAACGACACATTAACAGACACACTCATATAAACACACACACACACACACACACACAGGCATATTATATCTATAACAGATAAACAAAAATACTGAAAATCATGAAATATAAGAAATAACAACAACAAAATAATAATAATAATAAAAATAATCGTATTATTATTATTAAATAATATAAATAATAATAAATTAATTAAATTTCTTTTTCAAAAAAAATTCCCGCTGTTAAAAAAATAAGATGTTATTTTGTAAGGAAATTTAATCCGATAGAGTTTTACATGCGGAGATAGAGAAAGATGGAGAGAAGAAGAGAGAGAAAGAGAAAGAGAAAGAGAGAAAGGAAGCTAGAAAGAAAGAGAAAGAAAAAGAGAGAAAGAGAGAGAGAAAGAGAGAGAGAGAAAGAGAGGAAGTAACAAAGGATGAGCAAAAAATCGTAGGTAGTAGCGGATATTAAAACTCGCCTCTAATAAAATTAATGATTAATGTGAAATTTGATGTATAAACACACAAGGAAGGAGTGAGGATGATGAAGCTGCTACAATGGCTGCAGCAGCTGCAGTAGTGGCTGCTGATGTTGCAGCAGCTATTGCTGCTGCTAAAGTCGCTACTGCAGCTGTTGATGATGATGACGTCAAATTAAATATGGGCACGATGTTGCAAAAACTGACGCCGATGACGATTCTGAATTCTAAGCAGGATGTTGATGACGATGCAAGCGATTATGACGTCATCCGATAAATAAACAATGCATTAACACTAACGAAGACGACGACAACAACAACAATAGTAATAACAACAACAACAACAATATCAATCAACAAAGCACTGAAAAACAACCCGACAAACCTTCACTAATAGATATGATAAATCAATAAATTCAACAGGAATGGTATATGCATTGGTGTGTTGGCTATTTTCTGTTGAAAAACAACAGCAGCAACAACAACAACAGCAACAACAACAACCACAACAACAACAACTTCACTACTGATACTACATCAAATGATACATTGGAAACAATTATCTTCTTGCATACAACCACGCAACAACAAACGAAAAAGTATATGCATTGTGCAATATTTCATACAAACACACACACACACATACAAACACACACACACATACATACATACATACAGACAGACAGACAGACAGACAAACATACACACGGACACATGCGTACAACTGTCATGCAACATATGTTCTTCGCATTCTCGCTAGATTGGTCGTCGTGGAGCTAGTAAGTTGATGATGTTGTTGCTGTTGATGATGTTGTTGTGGTGGTTGTTGGTGATGTCTTAAATGTTTATATTGTTGTTGCTGCGCTATTTGATAAATGCATCAATTATAGTTTCCTTCCAGCCTATACGAAATTGTTGTTATCGCAGATGGTGATGTTTTTGATGTGATTGTTGCTAATTTTATTGTTGTTAATGTTTTTATGTTGCTGTTGTTTGTTGTTGTTGTTGTTGTTAGTTTGCCTGGAATGAAGACGACGATTCTGAAAATGTCAACATGAACAGTAGCGAACCTAACTTTCAAAGACATCATCAAAATTAGCTATTAAAACGACATCTGTGTTCACGAACCAATCACAATCAGCAATGAAAGATACATGACAACAACAACAACAACAACATAAATTACATCAACAAAAAGTACAACTATTGTTGCTACAACAACTACTACTACCACCAATACTACTACAACTACAACAACTACTACTACCACCACCATCATTACTACTACTGCTGTTGCTGCTGCTACGTTTACTACTACTACTACATCAACAACATCAACAACAACAACAAAATAAGTCAAAAAAACAGGGCGAACAATTTTTCATTACCCTCATCAATCTACAACATTAGCTTAGACAACATTATTTTCAATTCATTTACAACTGCTAGACAACAACATCAACAACAACAAAAAACAACAACAGCAACGACAGTAGTTGCAGCAACAAAAACGTAATTAATCATGACATTAACTACAAAACCGTCTAAATTGACATACACAGCTTTACCGATGTTATCAAAGACGACAACACCACCAACAACAACAACATTAAAAACATCAACACTATCAGCAGAAACAACTTTAGAAACATCAACAACACAAACATTAGAAACATCAACAACAACAACTACAACAACATTAAAAACATCAACACTATCAGCAGAAACAACTTTAGAAACATCAACAACACAAACATTAGAAACATCAACAACAACAACTACAACAACATTAAAAACATCAACACTATCAGCAGAAACAACTTTAGAAACATCAACAACACAAACATTAGAAACATCAACAACAACAACTACAACAACATTAAAAACATCAACAAAAACACAATTCACATCATCGACAATTTATCAACGTCAACAAAACCATTTAAACAATTCACACCGAACGTATGTTTATTTGCAACTATACATTTTTGTATGTATGTTGTATGCTGACATATCTGTTTGTTTGTATGTATGTGTGTAAGTGTATGTAAGTGTGTATGTGTACGTCTGTATGTATGTGTGTGTGTATTTTTCCAGTTCTAATTTATTTAGAACTTGAAAAAACGACTGTAGCATTTGTCTTAACTTTTATAGCAAGATATTCTCAAACTTCTTGGCAAATAATGATTAATTAGAAAGTTTATTAATAAAAACTTTAAAAAAATAAATTAATAAATTAAATTAAATTAATTAATTAAATG